GCTAAATGCCCCAATTAAAAGACATAGACTGGTAAATTGGATAAAGAGTCAAGACCCATCAGGAGACCCATCTCACATGCAAAGACATACATAGGCTCAAAATAAAGGTATGGAGGAATATTTACTAAGCGAAAAGAAAAGAAAAAAGAGAAAAAAGAAAAGAAAGAAACAGGGGTTGAAATCCTAGTCTCTTATAAAACAGACTTTAAACCAACAAAGATCAAAAAAGACAAAGAAGGGCATTACATAATGGTAAAGAGATCAATGCAACAAGACTGATCTTGTTGATATTGATATATTGGGTGCATATATATTAACTATCCTAAATATATATGCACCCAATACAGGAGCACCCAGATTCATAAAGCAAATTCTTAGAGAACTACAAAGAGACTTAGACTCCCACACAATAATAGTGGGAAATATCTAAAAGCTATGCCCTAACATCACAATTAAAAGAACTGGTGAAGCAAGAGCAAACAAATTCAAAACCTAGCAGAATATAAGAAATAACTAAGATCAGGACACAACTGAAGTAGATAAAGACACGAAAAACTTCAAAAAAAATCAGTGAATCCAGGAGTTCATTTTTTGAAAAGATCAACAAAATAGATAGACCGTTAGCCAGACTAATAAAGAAGAAAAGAGAAAAATGAAATAGACACAATAAAAAATGATAAAGGGGATATTACCACTCATCACACAAAAATATAAACTACCATCAGAGAATAAACATCTCTACGCAAATAAACTAGAAAAATATGGAAAAAATGGATAAATTCCTGGACACATACACCCTCCCAATACTAAACTGGAAAGAAGTCAAATCCCTGAATAAACCAACAAGTTCTAAAATGGAGGCAGTAATTAGTAGCCTACCAACCAAAATAAGCCCAGGACCAGAGAGATTCACAGCCGAATTCTACCACAGGCACAAAGAGGAGCTGGTATTATTCCTTTTGAAACTATTCCAAACAATAGAAAAAGAGGGAATCCTCCCTAACTCATTTTATGAGGCCAGCATTTAACCTGATACGAAAACCTGGAAGAGACACAATAAAAAAAGAGAAAATTTTGGGCCAATATCCCTGATGAACATCGATGCAAGAATCCTCAATAAAATACTGGCAAACCCAATTCCAGCAGCACATCAAAAAGCTTATCCACCATGATCAAGTCGGCTTCATCCCTGGGGGACAAGGCTCGTTCAACATATGCAAATCAATAAACATAATCCATCACAAAAACAGAACCAATAACAAAAACCACATGATTATCTGAATAGACGCAAAAAAGGCCTTTGATAAAATTCAACACCCCTTCATGCTAAAAACTCTCAATAAACTAGGTATTGATGGAACGTATCTCAAAATAGTAAGAGCTATTTATGACAAACCCACAGCCAGTATCATACTGAATGGGCAAAAGCTGGAAGCATTCTCTTTGAAAACTGGCACAACAAGGATGCCCTCTTCTCTCACCACTCCTATTCAACATAGTATTAGAAGTTCCGGCCAGGGCAGTCAGGCAAGAGAAAGAAATAAAGGAAAGAGAGGAAGTCAAACTGTCCCTGTTTGCAGATGATATGATTGCAAATTTAGAAAACCCCATCGTCTCAGCCCCAAATCTCCTTAAGCTGATAAATAACTTCAGCAAAGTCTTAGGATACAAAATCAATGTGCAAACATCACAAGCATTCCTATACACCAATAATAGATGAGCAGAGAGCAAAATCATGAGCGAACTCCCATTCACAACTGCTACAAAGACACTAAAATACCTAGGAATACAACTTACAAGGGATGTGAAGGACCTCTGCAAGGAGAACTACAAACCACTGCTCAAGAATATCAGAGAGGACACAAACAAATGGAAAAACATTCCATGCTCATGGATAAGAAGAATCAATATCATGAAAATGGCCATACTGCCCAAAGTAATTTATAGATTCAGTGCCATCCCCATCAAGCTACTACTGACTTTCTTCACAGAATTAGAAAAAACTACTTTAAATTTCATATGGAACCAAGAAAAGAGCCTGCATAGCCAAGACAATCCTAAGCAAAAAGAACAAAGCTGGAGGCATCATGCTATCTCACTTCAAACTGTACTACAAGACTACAGTAACCAAAACAGCGTGTTACTGGTACCAAAACAGATATATAGACCAATGGAACAGAAGAGAGGCCTCAGAAATAATACCACACATCTACAACCATCTGATCTTTGACAAACTTAACACAAACAAGCAATGGGGAAATGACTCCCTATTTAATAAATGGTGTTGGGAAAACTGGCTAGCCATATGCAGAAAACTGCAACTGAACCCCTTCCTTACACCTTATACAAAAATTAACTCAAGATGGATTAAATTGCTGCCTGTTCTTTCCTCTGGAAGGTTCGTCGCAGAGGGGCAACTGCCAGATGCCAGCAAGAACTCTCTTGCATGAGGTGTCTATAGGCCCTTACTGGGAGGTGTCTCCCAGTCAGGATACATGGGGGTCAGGGACCCACTTGAGGAGGCAGTTTGACCCTTAGCAGAGCTCAAACGCTGTTCTAGGAGGTCTGCTGTGCTCTTCAGAGACGTCAGGCAGGGACTTTTAAGTCTGCTGAAGCTTCACCCACAGCCGCTCCTTCCACCAGGTGCTCTGTCCCAGGGAGACGGGGGTTTTATCTCTAAGTCCCTGACTAGGGCTGCTGCCTTTTTTTCAGAGATGCCCTGCCCAGAGAGGAGAAATCTGGTAGTCTGGACACAGCAGCCTTACTGAGCTGCAGTAGGCTCCACCCAGTTCAAACTTCCCAGTGGCTTTGTTTATACTGTTGAGCATAAAACCACCTACTCACGCAACAAGCAATGGGGAAATAACTCCCTATTTAATAAATGGTGTTGGGAAAACTAGCTAGCCATATGCAGAAAACTGCAACTGAACCCCTTCCTTACACCTTATACAAAAATTAACTCAAGATGGATTAAATTGCTGCCTGTTCTTTCCTCTGGAAGCTTCGTCGCAGAGGGGCAACTGCCTCAGTAATGGCAGATGTCCCTCGCCGCACCAAGCTGGAGTGGCCCAGGTTGATCTCAGTCTGCTGCTGTGCTGGCAGTGAGAATTTCAAGCCAGTGAGTCTTAGTTTGCTGGGCTCTATGGGAGTGGGACCCACCAAGCCAGACCACTTGGCTCCCTGGCTTCAGCACCCCTTTCCAGGGGAGTGAACAGTTCTGTCTCGCTGGCATTCCAGGTGTCACTGGGTTATGGAGAAAAAAAACTCCTGCAGCTAGTTCGGTGTCTGCCCAAATGGCTACCCAGTTTTGTGCTTGAAATCCAAGTCTCTGGTGGGTTAGGCACCAAAGGGAATCTCCTGGTCTGTGGGTTGCAAAGACCATGGGACAAGCGCAGTATCTGGGCCAGAGTGCACAGTTCCTCAGGCTCAGTCCCTCATGGCTTCCCTTGGGTAGGGGAGAAAATTTCCCAACCCCTTGCGCTTCTCGGGTAAGGGGATGCCCCACCCTGCTTCGGTTTGTCCTCCATGGGCTGTATCCACTGTCCAGCCAGTCCCAATGAGATGAACCGGGTACCTCAGTTGAAAATGCAGAAATCACCCGACTGCTGCATCGATCTTGCTGGGAGCTGCAGACCAGAGCTGTTCCTATTTGGCCATCTTGCCAGCAATCCACCTTTTTTCTTTTTTTTTTTTTTTTTGAGACCAAGTCTCACACTGTCAGTCAGGCTATAGTGCAGTGGCGCGATCCCGACTCACTGCAACCTCCGCCTCCTGGGTGGAACCGATTCTCCTGCCTCAGCCTCTGGAATAGCTGGGCTTACAGGAGCCCACCAACACGCCCAGCTAATTTTTTGCATTTTTGTTAGAGATGGGGTTTCACTATGTTGGTCAGGCTGGTCTCGAACTCCTGACTTCGAGATTCACCCTCCTCAGCCTCCCAAAGTGCTGGGATTACAGTAGTGAGCCACCGCGCCCGGGCCACAATAATGGAATAGTTTTATCTGTTTCATATATTGGACTTTCTCATAAAATTTAGCTTGAAGAAAGGATTTTTACACACACACACACACACACTCTCACACAAACACACAAAATAGAGTTTACAAAAAATCTGGGTAGGAAAAGAACAGCAGCCAGAATCTATATCCACATAGTCCTGGCCCATAGTCTTGCCTGTGTGCAACAGTTTTAGCTTTCATCAATACCACTGCTACTTTCTCTACAATAACTGTCCCAAGGGCACATACTAGGAGCCATTGGTGATAAGGAAAATTCACATGTCCTGATCAATGGGTGCATCATTTTATTCCTATGCCAAAGTAAAGCACAGTGTATTAATATTTTTGTCAAGATCAGAGGCACTGTGGGGCATGCAAATTAACTGTTTTTCTTTTGCATTCTGCTTTAACTTCCATTTCTAATTTTCCCACATGTAATGTATAATTGGAAAAGTGAAAAATCTGCTTTCGAATTTTAAGAACTAAAGCAAGTAAAAGCCATAAAGCACTCCTAACACAAGAAGTTCCCAAGCAATGTAAAAGAAACCCAGAAGATGCTCTCCTTTCATGGGCTGCCCAGACAAGACACCATCAGCCCCTTTTTTCTGCAAAACCTCTCTTCCACAGCAGCAAGCCAAGGCCCAGGGCTTCCTGCACTCTGGAACTGTGTGTCTCTGCTGCATTTGCCTGGTTCTATGTTTCTCCTGTGTCTTTTCTTGGTATTAAATGCATCCTTTTCTCTCCGTGAGGTGGTGGCAAAGACTCAATTTTGAGCTTCTATGTGGAAAAAGGCATAAAAAAGGCGGCCACCCATGGTATGGTTTAGATGACTTAAGGGCACACAGGGAATTGGGGCCAAAACTCCTAGCTAATGAGATGAGGTTACCTTATCTTGTTTTGCCTCTTCTGTGCATCTGTCTTCTCTGAAGGTCAGAGATGCCTATGACCCATACCATCCTAATATAGAATCACAACCTCACCAGAATTTCCAGTGACTCTCACCTGATCTGCTTGCCTTCCCTCATGTCATATAAGGAAAAGAAGACATCGGTATCTTCCCCAATAGTATTGTAAGTGAAACTCTTCAGGCTGAGGAAGAAGTGATGTGGCACTGGCATCCGACATGTTTCCCCATGACGTGGGCGCATTGTATCTACCTAACGAGGAAGAAGAAAACCCGGTGATTTTTATTTTAGTTTTTATATTGATCATTAAAAGGTGCAAACTAAATTACAAACTCTTTTCACACTACTGAAGGAGATTATTTGAGAAACTGAAGATGTTTTCTTTGCTTGTAGGGGATGCTGCATCAACAGACTTGGGTTGAGGTGGGCAAGCAAGCAGCTGGGAGGAATAAACAGTGAAAGAAATATAGGGACAGTAATTCCAACTTATAAGTGAACTAAAGATCTCCACTAGGTGACAAACATCTTAATTCTCCAGGAAACCATTTTCTTTTTTTCTTTTTTCTTTTTTCTTTTTTTTTTTTTTGAGACAGAGTCTCACTCTGCCACCCAGACTGGAGTGCAACAGCATGATCTTGGCTCACTGCACCTCTTACTCCAGGGTTCAAGCAATTCTCCCTCAGCCTCCCGTGTAGCTGGGATTACAGGCACTCGCCACCATGCCCAGCTAATTTTTGTATTTTTAGTGGAGACGGGTTTCACCACGTTGGCCAGGCTGGTCTCAAACTCCTGACTTCAGGTGATCCACCTGCCTCGGCCTCCCAAAGTGCTGGGATTACAGGCATGAGCCACCGCGCCCGGCCCAGAAAACCATTTTCAAAGTCATTTTTAAGAAATGCCATTATGACCCCAATGCACTTGATTTATACTGTTACCCGGTAATAGTTATGATTCTAAATAACATTTTTATTTTCTCCCAGACTGATTCATTTTAGTTTCAGTCTGCTTTAATTGTGCTTATGCAAATTTGCACAGTAGAAGTAGAGTCTGGCCAAGACTGTTTAGAGGTCAAGGCTCCTCAGATAAAGACACCACACAGTCGAGAAGTCAGTGGTGTCTGTCATTTCCTGGTGTATTCATATGTTGTAATCTCTTAATAGAAAAAGTTGACGGGAAAGGCTGGAAGACCCAGGAAAGCCACTTACCTGGGATGTGCTTTGCTGTACACTCTGCCGACTAGATAAATGCTATGGAAAGAAGGAAAGAAAAATAAACTCTACCAGGAAAGAAACTAAATTTTATTAAGTACTTTCGATATGCTGGGCAGTCTGCTATGCCTTTTATATTCATGATCTCATTTGATACTGATAACTCTGTAAAATAACTGTTACTCATATTTGGTGGAGACAACTAAAGCCTAGAGTAAGGACATGATTTGCTGAAGGTCACATAGCAACAAAGTGGCAAAGTCCAGATTCAAACCTTAGCCCTTCCAGATCTGACTAACAGACAAGTCACAAGTGGGTGACTAGCACTAAATTTTTGCTTTGCCACTGTCCTCTCCACATACTGTACCACTTTATGAGCTGCCTGATCCGGCTTCTTCAGACTTTCCACACTGATACCTTTAACAATAAAGGGCTCCCTCCAAAACACTTCTCCATGCTGTTCCTTTACTGCTGGCTGGTTGAAATTAGAAGAAGCAGATTCTAATTCGAGCTATGCCACTCATAGACTGTGAAATTTCAGACAAATCACTTAATCTCTCCAAGAGACACTTTCCTGAACGTAAAATTCAGATAAGAGTCTGTATTATCTTCCTTACAAAGTTATTGAAGCTCAAACTACATAATGAGCATCAGTATGATACAGAAGTTAGGGACCTAAGTGCAGAAGTGAGGATCCTAGGTTTTGAATTTTTAAAAAATGTTTAAATTGATATATAATATTTTAAAATATTTATGAAGTACATGTGATATTTTGATACATGCATACAATGTATAACTATCAAATCAGGGTATTTAGGATATTCACTGCATCAAACATTTATCATTTCTTTCTGTTGGGAACATTTCAAATCTTCTCTTCTAGCTACTTGAAATGTACAATAAATTACTGTTAACTACACTCACCCTATGGTGCTATCAAACACTACAACTTATTCCTTCTAACTATATGTTTGTACTTGCTGACCAACCTCTCTTCAACCCCACCACCCCACCATTCTCAACCCTTGGTAACCACTATTCTATTCTCTGTCTCCAAGAGATTCACTTTTTTTTTTTTTTGGTTTTGTTTTTGTTTTTTAACTCCTACATATGAGAGAATATGAGATACTTGTCTTTCTGTGCCTGGCTTATTTCATTTAACATATTGACTTCTACTTCTATCCATGTTGCTACAAATGACAGGATTTCATTCTTTTTATGGCAGGATAGTATTCCATTGTGCATATATGACACACTTTCTTCATCCTTTCATCTGTTAACACTTAGATTAATTCTATATCTTGGCTATTGTGAACAGTGCCGCAATAAACACAAGGGTGCTGGTGTCTCATTGATATACTGATTTTTCTTTCTTTTTAATAAATATCCAGTAGTAGGATTGCTGGATCAAATGGTGGTTCTGTTTTGTTTTTTGGGAAGTCTCATACTGTTTTCCATAGTGGCTGTACTAACTTACATTCCCACCAACAGTGCGTAAGAGTTGCCTTTTCTCTCGTGAACCCGGGAAGCAGAGCTCACAGTGAGCCAAGAATGCGCCACTGCACTCCAGCCTGGGCGACAGAGTGAGATTCCATCTCAAAAAAAAAAAAAAAAGAGTTGCCTTTTCTCCACTTCTTTGTCAGCATTTATTTATTTATTTATTTTTTGTCTTTTTGATAACAGCCATTCTAACTGGTTTTCTGCTGCGGTTTTGACATTGCATTTCCCTGATGATCAGTGATATTGAGCATTTTTTTAATATAGTTGTTGGCCATTTATATGTCTTTTTTGGAGAAAGCTCTATTAGGATCCTTTGCCCACATTTTATTTTCCTTTTTTTGGGGGGCGGGGGGGGAGACATAGTCTTGCTTTGTTGCCAGGCTGGAGTGCAGTGGCGCAGTCTCAGCTCACTGCAACCTCCGCTTCCCAGTTCAAGCGATCCCCCTGCCTCAACCTCCCGAGTAGCTGGGACTACAGGCATGCCAACACGCCCGGCTACTTTTTATTTTTTTGTTATTTTAGTAGATATGGGGTTTAACCATATTAGCCTGGATTGTCTCTATTTCCTGACCTCGTGATCCACCTGCCTCGGCCTCCCAAAGTGCCGGGATTATAGGCGTGAGCCACTGTGCCCAGCCCCTTTGCACACTCTTTAATGGAATAATTTGGTGTTCTGCTGTTGAGTAGTGTGAGTTCCTTGTATACTCTAGATATCAGTCCCATGTTAGATGAACAGTTTGCAAATGTTTGCTCCCATGCTATAGACTGTCTCTTCATTCTGTTCTTTTGCTGTGCAGAAGCTTTTAATATGGTCCTCTTGGTCTATTTTTGCTTTTGTTGCCTGTGTTTTTGAGGTCTTAGTCATAAAATATTTGCTTTGATCAGTATCTTGAAGCTTTTCTCCTATGTTTTCTTCTAGTTTTATAGTTTTGTATCTTAAGTCTTTAATCTATTTTGAGTTGATTTTGGTACATAGTGAGAGATAGGGGTTTAGTTTCATTCCTCTGGATATGGGTATCCAATTTTCTTGGCACCACTTATTGAAGGGTGTCTGTATGTTCTTGGTGCATTTGTCAAAAATCAGTTGACTGTAAACAGTTGGATATATTTCTCGTTTCTCTATTCTGTTCCATTGGTCTATGAGTCTTTTTATACCAATACCATGCTGTTTTCATTAATCTGGATTTGTAGTGTGTTTTGAAATCAGGTAGTGTAATGCTTCCCGATTAGTTCATTTTGCTCAGTATTGCTGTGGCTGTTTAGGGTGTTTTGTGGTCCCACACAAATTTTAGGTTTTCTATTTTTTGTGAAGATTGTCATTGGTATTTGGATAGGAGTTGCACTGAATCTGTAGATTTCTTTCTGCAGTATGGTCATTTTAACAATATTAATTATTAAAATCCATGAGCATCAAATGTCTTTATGTTTGTGTCCTAATTTCTTTCAATAATGTTTTATAACTTTCGTTGTAGGGGTCTTTTACCTCCTCGGTTAAATTTATTCCTAAGCATTTTATTTTTCTGTAGCTATTGTAAATGGGATTGCTCTCTGATTTCTTTTTCTACCACTTCATTATTGGTGTATAGAAACACTACTGATTTTTGTATGTTGGACTTTGTATCCTACAGCTTTCCTGAATACATTTATCAGTTCTAAGAGATTTTTAGTAGAGTCTTTAGGTTTTCCTATGTATAAGATTATGTCATCTACAAAGAGGGACAATTTGACTTCCTCGTTTCCAATTTAGATGCCTTTTATTTCTTTCTCTTGCTTGATTGCTCTGGCTACGACTTCAAGTACTATGTTGAATAGGAGAATTAAAAGTGGGTATCTTCGTCTTGTTCCAGTCTTAGAGGAAAGTATTTCAGCTTTTCCTCATTCAGTGTGATGTCAGCTGTGGATGTGTCATATACAGCTTTTATGTTGAAGTATTCTTCTATGTCTAACTTGTCGAGAGTTTTTAACAGGGAAAGATGATAAATTTTATCAAATGCTTTTTCTGTCCTACTGAGATGATCATATCGTTTTTGTCCTTCATTCTGTCAATGTGATGTATCACACACTGACTGATTTGCACATGTTGAACCATGCTTACATCACTGGGATAAATTCCATTTGATTATGGTTTCTAATCTTTTTGACATGTCGGATTCAATTTGCTAGTATTTTGCTGAGGATTTTTGTGTCTGTGTTCATCGTGTTCATCAAGGATACCGGTCCATTTTTTTTTTCTTGTGTCCTTGTCTGACTTACTATCAATGTAATGTGTAATGCTGGTCTGGTAGAATGAGTTAGGATGAATTCCTCTCTGCCTCAACTTTTTGGAATAGTTTGAGAAGATCTGGTGTTAGTTCTTCCTTATAAGTTTGGTAGAATTCAGCAGTAGAGCCATACAGTTCTGGGTTTTTCTTTGCTGAAAGATTTTTTATTACTTATTTGATCTCTTTTCTCATTATTGGTCTATTCAAGCATTTCATTTCTTTCTGGTTCAATCTTGGTAGATTGTGTGTGTTCAGGAATTAATCCATTTCCTCTAGGTTTTCCAATATGTTTGCATATAATTGTTCATAGCAGTCTCTAATGATCCCTTGTTTTTGTTTTTTTGTTTTTTTTGAAACTGAGTCTCACTCTGTCACCCCGGCTGGAGCGCAGTGGCAGAATCTTGGCTCACTGCAACCTCCACCTCCCGGGTTCAGGTGATTCTCCTGCCTCAGCCTCCTGAGTAGCTCGGATTACAGATGTGCACCACCATGGCCGGCTAATTTCTGTATTTTTACTAGAGATGGAGTTTTGTCATGTTGGCCAGGCTGGTCTTGAACTCCTGACCTCAGGTGATCCACCTGCCTTGGCCTCCCAAAGTGCTGGGTCTACAGGAGTGAGCCACCATTCCGGCTGATCCTGTGTATTTCTGTGGCATCAGCCATAATGTATCTTTTTTTGTTTCTGACTATTTGGATCTGTTGGGAACAGGTTCCCAAAATCTGGCCATAAACTGACCCCAAAACTGGCCATAAACAAAATCTCTGCAGCACTGTGACATGTTCATGATGGCCATGATGCCCACGCTGGAAGGTTGTGGGTTTACCGGAATGAGGGCAAGGAACACCTGACCCACCCAGGATGGAAAAACCACTTAAAGGCATTCTTAAACCACAAACAATAGCATGAGTGATCTGTGCCTTAAGGACATGCTCCTGCTACAGACAACTAGCCAAATCCAACACTTTGTTTTGGCCCATCGCTTTGTTTCCAGTAAGGAATATTTTTAATCTATAGCAACAATGCTTATCACTGGCCTACTGTTAATAGATACGTGGGTAAATCTCTGTTCAAGGCTCTCAGCTCTGAAGGCTGTGAGACTCCTGATTTCCTACTCCACAAGTCTATATTTCTGTGTGTCTTTAACTCCTGTAGCGCCACTGGGTTTGGGTCTCCCAAGCAGAGCTTGTCTCAGCATGAGTCTTCTTTTTTCTCAATTAGTCTAGTGGTTTATTGATTTTATCTTTTCAGAAAACCAACTTTTTGTTTCACTGATCCTT